CATAGGTATTTGGGTATTTCTTTGTTAACATTACTGCTGGTAGGCTGCCAACAAAGGGCCTGCTGCAGAGAGGCACCCATGCCCTGGACACAGGGACCAGACCCACAGGTCTGAGTGCCCTCCTGGTTCTTTTTCCAAACACAGGAAAGCAATGCCCAAAATAAAATTTTATCTTTGCTCTCAGCAAGAACTATCGCTTATCAAGCACCCCGGTCAAACATAACAAAACCACTCTGGGATAGGGAACGGCTTTTACAATTGATTTCCAAGTTTTCATCGATGAAAAGGCATTTTAGCAAAATCTTCATTGACCTGCTTGTCTGCAGCAACAATCACCACTCCCCCTTCAGAATGTCTGGCTCTCCAAAGCCAGTATGTTTGTTGGCAGAGAGCAAGAGCGTGAGCAAACCATGGGTGACGTGTCGTGTTGTGCAAGGAGAGGTGTGGACACAGACATTGACAATTAGCCATCCAGTGTGGGTTTTGCAGCCAAAGCTGCAGCACAAGAGAACAGCACAGGCTGTGCAGGAGACCTGGGCTCTCCATTGCTTTGTGCTTCCCCTGCCTGGCCACTGACAGAGCCTCACACAGCACACACCTGGCTCATGTCTCACCATTTCTGCTTCCTGGGGCAGGGACTGAACAGCGATCAGCAGCAAGAAATAACTGGGCTCTGGAATTTTTTCAAGATTCCCAATTATGTCAGTCAGCAACAAAGCAGACAAACTTATAAGGGTCTTAAATACTTAATGGAAATAGATCCAGAAGAAGCTGCACTTCCACACTGCCTGGAAAAACACCTCACTGTCATGAGCCACAGAGACAGCAAATTCTCTCCCTTAGACCAGTATTTTATTTTTTTCTAAACAATTTCAATTAAGATGATATGTCAATCAGGACCGGGTCCACAAAACACTTTAGGCCATACCAGATACCATTGCCTGTAAAGCAGAAAAATATCCTTTACCTACTAAACAAATACAAAATCCACGGAGAGAAAGTTTCATTCTACTCTTACAGGAGAAATAGCTTTAAAGGCTGTAGCCATACATAATACAACACAGTCTGTTTTCCCTTTCTAATCCCCAGACTTGCTTCCCTGAGAAGGAGAATGCTCTTGGAATAAGCCATCTCAAAACCCCCTCCATCTCTATTTTACCAATGGAGTGAGGTACATGTATTTTTACATACTTTTCTGAGAAAAATGAATGGGCTAAAATTCACATCTCAAATGTGTTCCCAAAGCTTTGCAGTCAAACTCCAGAGATCCCAACCCCATCATCAAGAGGTTTTCCCATCCAGTTCTCAGCTTCCAGCCCCATGCTCTGCAAATCCTTTTGGCACGTGTGTCTGTCCAGCAATCCCAATTTCCATCCCAGATAACTGAAGGGTTTGCAATGACAGCCATGTCTACACAGCTGGACCTGAGACAGATTACAGAGTTAATGGAAGGTGAGGCTGGAAAATTCAGTCCAGAATGAACTCTGGGCTTCTGCTGTTGGATTTCAGTCTGTTGTCAAGACAGTTCAAGAGAATCCAGCTCAAAATCACAGTTCCTGTATCTATGGATGGCTCTATCCTGCCACATACAATACATTTTGAGCTCAAAAAAAAAAAAATCTACTAATTTTAAAAATATCACATATACAATCTCTGTAAATATCTCAGATTCATGTTGTCCAGTTCACACAAAATATGAGAAAAATTCCAGGCGCAGTAAAGATCTCGAGAATCTTCATTAAAAAAATCATACTTAGTTTCTGGTGCCAAATTTCACTTTAAATGCTAGGTTGACATTTAAAACACCTCCTTGTACAAAGGGCACTGTTCATATTACAAAAAATTAATTAACCAGATCTCACACACTTTTATGTATTGTAATTCATGGATTACTGAGATTCATAATTGAATAATATGTAGATGTCACCTAGAGGTACTAAACCAATTCTCCTACTTGTAATTGCCTGACTAAGTAAGAACGACACTAACTTCAGCATTTTCTCTCTGATTAAGGCTGCTATGGATTTGTGGTTGCTGCTGTGTAATATAAATCAATAAAGAATAATTTTCCAGGCAGCAAATCAATTGTCAGTTCACAGACCCTAATACCTCTGTGCGGGATTTATTGAAAAAATGAATGGCAGGCTTGTTAGTGGATGTACAACATGCTCTACAGGCACACAATGGGGTAGGGCCCAGTCCATCCCAAACCCTGGCAAGCTGCTTAACTCCTTCCTTGCCTGACACAAGTGTGCTGAAATGGAAGAAAAGTGATCAGACCTCCCAACTGGAAGAAAGGAAATAAAAAAATTGTTTTATTTTAGCTTATTCCTCCATTTAGCATCTACTGTCTCGATGTTCCCATTTCTGCCATGAGATTTTAGGGTCAATGTGACACTGTAGAGTCTGAAGTTGTCAAATTAAAAGTCATATAGAGATGGGGATATTTTTGGAGCAGAGCTACCTGAAAAAGCACCAACAGGATGACAAAACACGGGTAAATGCTAACCTGATTAGATCTGAACATTGTTATGCATCTTTTTGCCATTTTTTTTGAACCAGATCAGACTCCTTTTCCTGTTTGACACAATGATGCACCTTTACAGGATGCTGCTCCAGACCCAATGATCTCTTCCTGGATCCATCCTGACAATGTCCATGGCGCCACTTGAAAGGTAATATTTTTATTTTTTGATCACCAAAACTAGTTTTAATACATCTCAGTGCCAAAAGCAATGTGCCACGTGGTAAAGGGCTACTGCAAGTTTATATATAGAAGGACTGAAGTGCCATTTCTGTAGCTACAGAGCTTCCATGCAGAACATGCTGCAGGACTAAACAGAGTTCAGCTCCTTCTTAAGGGAAATAAATGCATCCTCAGTGAAAAACACACCCAGTGAAAATACAGTTGTCATTACCTAACAACAAGCAACAGGCACATTTTTTATCAGCACAGGATGAACGTGTTTGGCCCTGAAGCATGACCTAAAATTTAAAAATAAATAACAAATAAATTTAATAAAAATAAAATTAGTACACCCCACACCCCAGGAAAACTAAAGAACTTTAAGAAACAGTTCACAAATCTTTGCTGTGACAGTCAATCTGCATCACTCTAATTCACTCTCAAATCACTTAGCACTGCCACTGATGCCACCTTTAAAAATGAAAGGTATTTGAACTTTTCTCTGTACAAAGAACAGTGGTCACCCTCCTTCTTACAAAGCAGTGCAAAGAAAAAGTAAAATAGAAGCTATGCACAGAATTTTATGCAGAGAAGGCAAAAATTATGCCTTATGCCAGACTATTATGGAGAAAGAACTTGTCATAAATTCAAACTAGGCTCATTCTCTTACACATAAAATAAAGGTTGAGTGCAACCTTCAAGCAACGGATACAGAAAATGTGCAGGCATTGTAATATCCACACTCTCCCACAGTGCTGAGAAAATAGGACCTTAATTATCCAACACTGTTGTCACCTAAAATAGGAGCTAATGCTCCCCCACTGGTTTCTGAAAATCCGTTCCACCCTCAATTCAGAGCAAAGCCCACACTGCACAGTCTCACTTCTCATCCCACTTTCAAGGCTCACATTTTCTGGTATTGTGAATTCCAGATCTTTGCTGGGAAATAAATAGAATTGGACAAAAAGTAGTCATTAAACCCCATTTCTCAAACAAAGTGGGCTTTCAAAAGAAATATTCTCCTCCCTCTAATTCCTGCCATTTCTGCTGACACTTCTCCATACAAGAGTTAGACACTCTTTAAATCAGTTTGTGAATTTTTTCATTAAAGGGAGATCTGTACATCTCAAGTGAGAGAACGGATAATATAGGGGCTCTAAGAAACAAGTAAAAAACCCAAAAGTATATAACCCAAAACTCTATATTCAAACCATTAACTCATCCGAATTCATCTTTTCCCACTTATTAAAAATAAACTTATTTTCTTGCAGGCAAGTGCTTTTCATTCTTCTTGTCGCACAAGAAGTCTTATCAGTTAAGATAAGAATGATAATTTTAGTGTGGAAAGGAAATTTGGAGCTCTCTAACCCACTCCCCTACTCAAAACATGTCCAATTACCTCAGGTTTCTCAGGATCTTATGCAGCTAAGTTTCGAGAATCTCCAAAAATGACATTCAAAAAACTTGTTATTAATAACAAGTGATGGTTTTACACAGGGCCTAACCTACAGGCCAAAATTATGTTCTTACTAACATAAAGCTCGGCAGTTAATTTGGCTAATTTCTTTTATTTTTAACCATACTTTAATATTGAGCAAAATATTAAACAGACTAATAGATCCAGATGACTGGATGACTTTCCTGTGATATAGTCAATATTTTCTTTTTAGTGAGTTTAAATGTCTACAGCTCTTTTCCTCTAATAGGCTCATCACTAACAGTAACCCAATTTACCATTTCTTATGTATGCACGTCATTTTTAATACTTAATCACTCAAAACAGATCAAAAATGAGAGAAATGGAAGATCTCATCTGCAAAGTTACTCTTGTTGCAAAGACATCCAAGCTGACAAGGGATTTGAATTCAAAAATAAAATATAACATAAACCTCAGGAAGCTTCATGCAGTAATTCCAGAGCTGCATTTAGCCTTATTATATTTATCTTTAAGGCTTTTATGCATATTCTTGTCTATAATTGCCACCTCACCTTGTTCGTTATTGCAGCCGCGTTTCAGTGCACGTCTAATCAAAATAATTACTACAAATTGTTTAGACCTGTGAAGCATGTGGGACTAAGCCTGCAGTTCAGAAGTCTACATAATCACACAGAGAGCTGCTCTAGAGACTTTTTATAAAGTAATCAAATTGTGAAACTTAGCAATGCAATTGATTTTGTTGTCAGATGTACATCACTGCCTGGGATGCCAAACGGCTGATGAGAAATTCATTCACCCACAAGGCTGGGAGCAATCACCCCCTCCCAAACCATCTGAGGAGGTGGGGGCTCTGTTTGAAATAAGTCACCTAATTACCTGCAATGCATTGGTACAGCAGAACAGGCAACACTCAGGAATATGCATTTTACTCAACAGCTTCTTTCTCATTGGCACTCCTCCTTCCTCAAATAAAGCCCCTTCTTTCATGCCCTGTCAGAGAAGACACATGAGTTGTAGCATTCAATGAGAAGCTGCTTCATTAACAACTGAGTTATGTGACATCCCTTTCATAGCTTGCTGTGTGACTGCAGCATCATGTCAAGACAAACCCTCACACAATGCATCAGCCCAGGTGGATAGAGAGATGCTGCTTTCAGAAGCCCGCTGTCAGGACAGGATTTCTGTATTTTTTGTTCTGCAGGCTGTCCTCGCTGAAGGCTGCACAGGTCCTTCAAATACATCTTGGCAGGCCACACACTGACTGATACATCCTCCTGCACCCACTAATGAGCAGTGACATGGCACAGAGCTGTTTGAAGTACAATTGTGGACAGTACCACAGTATTGTACACAACCATGATTCCTTCTCAGCTCGGGGTGATGCATTTTGTTGGGGTTTGTCTTGACAAGATGGTGCAATTATATAGCTCACAAAACTCATTCTCACACATCTGCCACTGACTCCAATATGTATCATTTCCTGCTTTTTCAGGCAGTTGGTCCATCAAACAGCAGTCATACAGATGAGCCTTTTGTTTTCTCAGCCCTTATGTACACACTGATTAAATTCCTCTCCGGTTCTCTCTGATGAAGACAGCAGACTGCATCCCTGAATCCCTCAGTTTGTTCTGTGTTTGTTTGCATTGGAGTTTGTTCTGTGGACTACCTCCAACAATTCAGTACTATTCCTACACTGTGTATTTTTTAAAAGCCATTGTATTCTCATTAAGTAGTCTTTATTACTACTACTATTCTCCTTGTCAAAACACCAATAATTTCTTATGCTTCCAGAGATGGGCTGATGAGACTAACATTCAGGCAAATCCTTCAACTCTGAGTTTGAATCCTTCCCAGAGCAGTTCTCTGCCCTAGAGATAAAACTAATTTTCATTTAAGTAAATCAAAAACACATTGCTTTCTCATACGCTCCTTTTCAAGTAAAAAAATAGCTCTCTTATCAGCAGCTCATGCTGTTATTTACCATTTTACAATTGTTGGGCCATTTGTGAATATCACCAGTGTTAATAATCTTTTTTGGTAGCCATTTCCCTTCTTTCCCTCTCTTGTTGCCAATATTCCACTCTGACCTTCCTCCCATCCCCACAATTCATCCACCTGCCTTACCTGAATACCAAAGTCTGTGCCTATAGAGAGCAGCCTAAATAGGCTCCTCTGGCTGTTGTAGATGTACATTCATATTATCTCAAACTTGTTACAGGTATAGTTTCTTGCCCAGTGAGCTACCATTTCAACCAGTCTTTTCAAAAAAAGTAACTTCTAGAACAAAAGAAGCTCATTCCCAGCTCTGCAAGAAGATGCCCAACCTGAAGACAACTTTCACAAAGTCTAAAGCATTCCCTGCCTTTTTTTCTTAGTTACTGTTCATCACAATGCCAACTTTCATGTTTTTTCATAAGTACTTTTATTACATCTTTCTCTCTCATTCTCATTTAAATAAAAGCCCTGGAAACCTATGGTTTCATAGCTTGCCCACAACCCACAATTTATGGATGCTACTTGCAACTTTCAAAAGCTTTTAAAAATAGCATTGAATCTATTATTGTGAATTACAGTAATTGCAGCAAAGATTTAAGAGGCACTTTGAGAAATTTCAATTTCATGGTATGCTGCTGAACCCACTTCCTTGGCATCTTGGGGAAAATGCAGTTATTTTTTTTCTGAAAGAGCTTTTCTTCCTGCCTTTTTGAGTAAAATTTTAACTGCAACTCCAGTATCCAAAGTTCTCTTAAGAAAAAGAGTACTGAGTTTCCAACCCCAAGTGCAACAGAGGCTAAGATGGTACAAGACCAGAGTGATGTCATGATCAATTTTCATCTTTTTATATACCCTTTTATATATTCTCAGTATTCTTCACATACATACTTGTAATTCTTTAAGCCTGATATTTTAACATAGTCTTGGTGTTCTTCTAGGCAAGAAGACCAAACACTCTGAAGGCCAGGAAGCCTTACACAGTCTTGAGAAACCAAGGTTCTCTCTAGAACATGTTTTGTAGACCAGGATTAAGCCCCTTCTGGGGGTAACAGGCAGATGTCACCCCATGCATTTAAACTTCTCCCTGGGGACTCTTAGAGTACCTTAAAATTTGGGGAAGTCTGGTGTTCTCAACAGCATTTCTTTTTTCTCTAAGTTACGTGACAAAAGCTGCAACTTAGCTTATTTCTTAAGCAATGTTCCTCACCTACAAACGTTTGGTTTTTAATGGCCTTACTCCTGCCTTGAAAACAATGTACTATAGAACCTGGAGCAACATGCATTCAGAAACCAGCCATCAGTGCTTTACAAAGCAATTCTGTTGCTGAATCAGTATTTTTATGCTCTCCTACTACTAGAAATGCCAGTAGTTTTAGAGCGACCAAAACACTGAAATGTCATTTTAAGATGAAGGTCTAGACCATGATCTCCATTACGCCTGTATAACAACAGGTCAGCAGAATCACTCAGGATTTGCAAAAGAAATTGCTCAAAATACAGCCTCATCATCTTATTTATTTCCTGCCTTTTCTCTGAAGGCATTTTTAGAACCCCTGGTTGTGAGGAAAGGTAAGAAGTCAGAACCTGACTCCTATTAGGAGAGCCATTATTGCTTCTCAAAGCTCGACTGACCAAGCTCCCTGCAGGTGTTGCATCTCTGCTGCACAATGGGCAGGAACACCAGCAAAGGAGCTCCAGCTGCTCTGCTGACCAGAAACTCCTCCAGCAAACTCACTGCTCCTTTTCATCTTATTCCCCAGCTTTCACTCTGTCACTTGTTCTCTCCTTCTCCTGTAATACTGGCCCACTTCCTGGCAATCAGTGCTATTCCTGATAGGAGTCCTGAGACTTTCTGAAACCTCATAATCCAGAGTACAAATAATTTACTTAGAAGTTCATTTTTGACTCCAGTACGGCTGTTTTTCATTCTTCATACCTTGTTACATGGTTGCACATCCAGTAAAGACACAGCTTTTCAATTATGGACACTGACCCCTCAGGTAGTAGTGAGAAAGAGTGACTAGAATATATCCAAAAAGATGACTAACAACCAGATAAAACTGAAAGGAAGCAGGGGAAGGAAGGAACAACTAATTATTTTCCCCCCCACCTGTCTACACCCTACTATTCTCATCATCATCACAAAGGGTAATGGAAAGGGAATTATGAGCTAGAGAAGAGCTCTTGCATGGAGTGAAGGCCTGGATCCAACAAGCCAGCTCACAGGCTCTCGGGTCAGCAGATAACCAGCAGCTCTCTGAAGAGAGCTAATTAATATTTTTGGTGCATGACCACGCTCTTCAGTTTTAATTGGTGACAAGTGAGCAGCTAAAGAATTGTAAGTGGAATTTCATTTATCTGTATAGAGCAGATCAATATTCACTCAGCATGCAACAACTCCTTGCATCTCAACGGGACGAAATAAATTGTCAGTCAGCAGCATGCATTAGTTATTGTTAGAATGCTTCTAGCTAAATTATTCAACTTCTCAAAAGGCCACCTGATAAATGTTTATTTCTTCATAATTGTGCTGTTTAGGGCTGGGTAGAGTTAATTTTCTTCACAGTAGCTGGTATGGGCTGTGTTTCCCATTTGGGCTGGGAACAGTGCTGATAACACAGGGATATTTTAGTCACTACTGAGCAGGGCTTGCACAGCCAAGGACTTGCCTGCTCCTCACTCTGCCCCACCAGGGAGGAAGATGGGGATGCACAGAGAGCCAGGAGGGGTCACAGCTGGGACAGCTGATCCCAAATGGCCAAAGGGATATTCCAGACCATGGCATCATGCTCAGCAATAAACTGGGGCAAGGCTGTCCAGGGGGCTGCTGCTCTGGGAATGCCTGGCCATCATTTGGTTGGTGGGGAGCAATTGTTTCATGCTGGGAGAGGGAAGGAGCCAAGGGCATTCTGGGGCTTTGGAACCAGCTGGGGTTTAACCACAACAACCCTGCTTTTAACATCTGCTCATTTGTGCCACTTGCAATGAACACCATTTACATTCAGAGCAGGGCTCTAGGAAAACAGTAAGAAGTACAAACAAGAGAAGGCTGCAGGAACATCTTTCTTTTTCTCCTCTTCAGATATTGCAATGGCCTCCCACGGCATAAGGGCCACTTATTGAATTTAAAGATGCCATAAGCCAGAAACTCTCCAGCTCCCTTCCTATCACAGTGAATTCCAACTCAACAGCAGCAGCACCAGAACAGCACTGTGCAGCTGCAGAGTTCACTGATGAGTGTTAGCTGAGGTCAATCCTGGAGAGCAGCCATGAAAATTTCACAGGCTCTGTCTTCAAGAGGGTACAAAATCAGACCATCCATTTTGAAAATAATAAACCTTTCTTGATATTGTTTTTCAGTGTTACAGAAAATTCAGATTTCATTCATACCCTATCAAAAACTTCAACTGTATTTCAACAGTATGCTACAAAATCTAGAATCAGAGTCCTGGAAACAGAGATAGTTGCAAATAACACTTGTACATTAAAGCATTTCAGATCCTGAAGTATTACCATCTCATGAGTTTAACTTCATTTTTATTAAAACATAAATATTCTCTGTTAGTTTCAGTTCTATTATTAGTTTCAGTGCTGAAGAGCATAATGCAAAGCTGCATAATTCATATTATGAAGAGCCCATAAAGACACACCTGCAAACTATGACTAAGGCCATTAGTGTCAATTTAACTCCACAGGAACACAGAGCTCAAACCTGCAGCAAGCTCAGAACCACAACAGGATCACAAAGGTGATTCAAAATGTCAACAACCAAAGAATTTCAGAAGATCTAAGGGGAAGATTCTTGGGAACACAGTAAGATTAAATTATTACCCAGTGAAGTTAAATGTTCTGCACTATTGAGTTATCTTGGTTGAAACCAACACTATAGGATTTCCTTGAAGAACTGGTTCTCAGTATGAATTTTTAATAAGTAACACTGAGATGCTGCACACAATCTCCAAATAGAGTAACATGGCAGAAAGCTACAGTTAACTGGC